GCCCCACAAACTATCAGCTAAAGAGAATAAATAGATTAAATTGCTGCACATTTGGCAGACTAACATTTTCAGATTAATTAAACAATAAAATATATATTTTTACAACATTACATGTAAAGAGTCAAGTGGAAGTTTTTCTAAAGTTATTTAATGATATTTATATCATGAAAGCAGATTTTTGACATTTTACCTTTTTCCCGTTTTCAGATCAAATAAACGCACAAAACAAAAGCAAACAACCAGAACACAAAGCTGATAAAAAACAACTCAAAATACTCCCACACAACAGAACCTCCTCTCTTCCTCGCTGGCTCCAAATCTCTCAGTGGAATGATCAGCGGTTTGCTATCTGTCACCATCAAAACACCACAAATCCCGCGAATGATTCATTTCCTTATAAACCATTGACTCAGACACTGAAGCAGTTAGGCTCTAATCAAAGTTTGGGACGTCACTGATCACGTGACTCTGGCCAAACGAATCAAGCTTCGACACAGTGCTTCTGAAGCACCGGAGCGTCAGCTTCAAGCGGGCCATCACTACCTATGTGTAACTTTGAGAGTTATGGCTTCGGGTTTTGTTTATTATTAGTTTTCCTCTGTTTAGGTTCATGTTCAGTTCTGCCCTCGCCTTTGTTATTTATTGTGCACTGTAAATTAACTCACTCACATCACCACCCCGCTGTCTGCCACTTGGGTCCTCCTTCACTTCCACACACGACTGCTGCCCCAGCCGTGACACCCTCAGAGATCTTTGGTCATTTGCACAAGACTCACTCTAAAACGTAATGCTTTTACTGCTTATACCCGATTTTGGTGACAATAAAGAAAAATCTCGATTCTGGTTCTAAGTGGATCAAAGCTGCTTTATTTTTTGTTTGTTTTTTAAGTTCCAATCAGCTCATTTTTCAGGGGTTATTTGGGGTGGGGGATTGTACTGAAAGCAGTGTGTCACTGGTAAAGGAGTACCTTAATATTCACTCACTTGATTTTTTTTGCTATAACTCATCCATGTGGACCCTTTTCCTCACATCCATTGCCAGTTTAGAAAGACCATTCAATCTAACATGTATGTCATTTAAAGGACGATGGAGGGAACAGGTGGCGGCTAACATGTGAACTCAAATCAGAAAGGCTCCAGCAAATAATTAAAGCAGGAAGCTTCATGCTGTGAAGGAACAGTGCTAACCACATCCTTCCAGGTAATCACTGATCAGCTACAACTTCTCGTGTTGACACACCTGTTGCGACTTGCTGTTGGTGTTCTGATAAAGTATTTTATCACTTCATCTTTTTAATGTTCTTACTATTGCTGTTAGATTTGTATTGTTTATTGTCATTTATGCTTAGAAATATTTAACCATATATGCTTAGAGGTGTATAATCGATTGTGTAGTGATAGGATGTGTGATCCTTAATAGTCTGCAAAGACTTTGTGTGCATTCCAGAGCACTCTGGCATTAACACCCACATCCTGGGAGCATGGGAGAGGTCGTACCTTGTCTTATTGTTTTATGGTAGGATAAACGTATCTATATCCGTTTTAGGCTAAATGCCTTTTGTTTAGATGAACAGCTGGACTTCCAGACCAGCAGGTTTAGGGAAGTCATTTATGGGGTCACACTCTGACACACACACCCCCCACACACACACACAGACAAGGTATTCTTTGTTACATACCTATGTAAGATGTTATATGTTAATGAACCTATGCATATTCATGTAACCACAATAAAAGGAGTGCTATGGGGAACCTGGCTGAGAGTCTGACGGAGGTCAAGTGGGTGGAGCGACACTTGGCTCCAGGCATGTCTCCCTCATGCACGAGTAACACGAAGAACTTTGCCTACTTGGTGTTCAATGCTTTTGCTGTGTAGTTAAACTGTCTCGTTCCAGCAGTGGGCCTGTGCTAGACAGACCCAACAATTGCAATCCACTACTATACTGCTAGCTGATATTTTAAGCTTGATAAATTATAATCATTCATAAAGCGACTTATTTCTGGGTGACTGTAGCTCAGGTGGTAGAGCAGGTCATCTACTGATCGGAAGGTTGGTGGTTCGATTCCTGGCTTCCCCTAGTCTGCATGCCAAATATCCTGCATCCATCGGAGTATGAATGTGTGTGAATGTTAGCTATAAAGCACTTAGAGAGATGTGCTTGTGCGAATGGGTGTGAATGGGTGAATGCACAAGTTGTGTAAAGCGCTTTGAGTGCTCAGATGAGTAGAAAAGCGCTATATAAGAACCAGTCCATTTACCATTTATTTCACATTGTAAAATCCTCAGTTAATGATAATTAATTAACACAACACTACTGCAAACAAACCTGGTGCTGCAATAGCCAGCTAGACTGCTGTAGGCTGTGTGGGCTAGGTGGTGTTTAGAAAACAGGCTTCATAAATATTTGGAAACCTTTACGGAGGAAACCTGGTGCAACAAATAAAGATTTATCTATGTTTACGTGCCCCACCCTCCCTCCCTTCTTGTCCTCAATTCTTTAACTTTTTCACTCCTATTTAGTACACAGGGATCTGCCAGGCCGCCGTCGCCAGTCCCCTTCGAGGCCTTCCCCAAACCCCAGCTCAATTCATGTCCAAGCATCACCTTTACCTACTAAAACGCTGTCAAACCTAAAATGAGGACGTGGGCCCAGCTGGTGAATAGGAGGTTACTGGAACTGCAGAAGAGAGCTGAGCAGGAAACCCGGCAGCTGGAAATCTCCACAAGCAGTCAATAGAAAAGAAATTGAAATAAATTGTCTCGGGTCCTTGTTGTTACAGTCGTGCCAAAAAACAGTACAGCCAGTGGAGGTACTGGCAAAGATGCTGGTAGAGCAAGCTGCCATGCACCGGGAGAAGGCAGCAGTGTACCAAGATCAGCTCAGCTTACTACAGGGCCAGTCCGAACGCCAGACAACAGCGTTGGAGGACCTGGTTGTTTAGCCTGCGCTTGGAAGCTGAGTGACGTGGCAGCCAAGAGGGGCAGGCTCGGCTGCTGCACATACACAAATATCCCATAGAGCCACTTGAAATGATATAAGATTGTGTTCACGATCAATAGAGACTTGTAGTGTTTGTGCTGCACTCGGTGGTTGTCCAACTCTGACTCTGGGGAGGAGGAGACATCGGGGGCTTCTCAGGAAGCCCAGTGATTTACTCCAGTGAAGATTTCCCTCTAGGGCAGTCTTGGGACAACACTCAGTCCTTTGAACAGGCGATCGATAGTTCAACAATCAACAGTTGAACAGTACACCCTGACGTAGCACTGACATACCTGCATTTTGTGTTGATTAGAGACAGACTCTATTAAGTGAGTCGTAAAAGTCACACAGAAAAGGAAAACGCCCAGTTGTTGGTGCCAAAAAGCCACCAGCAAATGATTTTCCAGGTGGATTCCTTTAACCCCATGGCAGGGATATGACAAAACTCTGGAGTGAATAATGGCCCAATTCTATTAGCTGGGCATCCAGGGGGATGTGTGCCAATGGTCTGTGTAATGCCCAGAGTGTCAGGCCATGAACCAACTAGCAATTCCAAGAGCGCCTTTGTGCCTGTTACCATGCTGCTTTTCCAGGCCCAGAAACAGCAGCAGTGCCTGTACAAGAGAGACTCAGCTCGGACAATTTTCACTGGGAGATAAAGTGCTTGAATCGCTCAATTCTTCTAGCTCAAAGTTACCCTTTGGCAAGTGGTGGACATAACCATGACCACAACATGGTGCCATCAGACAGGTGAGGAGCCATAGAGGTATATCACCATCCAAGTTACGGTTTATTAAAATAATCAAATTACAGCGTTTACATTTATGTTAGACTACTTTTAATTAACTGCTTTATCCCACTTACAATGAAAATGTAAAAAAATCTTGTTCATGACCTGTGCAGTATGTTAACACACTAACATGGAAGTAAAAATAACTTGAACTCCAATTTTAAAAACACAACTTTCTTTCTTTCTTTCTTTCTTTTTTAATAAAGCTCTGACTTGTATTATGAGTCTGTGGTCTCGGAGAGAGTCTGTAACTCTCTGTCTGCAAAATACTATAATGACCAATGTTGGGCAATTAATTATATAGTTACTTCTTCAAAAAAGTAACTCAGTTTGGCAAACAACAAAGTTTTTTACAGCTTTTTTTTTTTTAATGCAGCCAAGGCGTTTTTTAAATAAACATTTCAAACTATTTACAGAACAATCAGCTGTTCTGCATCAAATTATTTGTGCCACTCCAAAAATAATTTCTGTCCACTATGAGATGAAGGAGAACAACAGCCTGATACCTGCAGGCCTGACAGCAGCAGATGTGTCACTGCTGTAACACCTGTAACACTCAGCAGTCGCCTCATTGTTCTGACACACAACAAAACTATTGACTACACTACACACTAACTACACACTAACTACACAAGATTTGCGCTAAACGTCGCAAATCTCTCACATCTCAAACACGCCGTCACTCCTAAAACTTCCCCCTCCCTAAACAACTAAATGCCATGTTTTGATTGGTTGACATGGTACATTTTTCCACCAATAGGAAAGGCCGAGGGAGGGGGGCTGTTTTTGCTCACAGGCTTTCGAGCGTTTTCCTTATAAAACGCCGTTTTTACCGTTTCTTCCCGCAGTAAATATAAACAACGACAGTATTCAGGAAGAAAACCAAACATTGCAAATATTTTTATCATAACTCTGGTTTTACGTGGCCGATCAACACAATTTAAAAACTGGTATAAAGTCCACACTTTTTTTCCATCAATTGTTCCGTCTGTCCTGCTCACATCTCCAAAGGTTGTAGTCGTTGTCATTAACGTAGCTTCACTCCACATCAGCCGCTTTGCTAAAACACCGGTTTCGGCACATAAGGACGCTGTCATAGCCTGTCAACCACGTTGATTAGCTGCGCATATACGAATGTGAATCGCATCATTGGCTGGACTGTGGGATAAGGCGGCATCGTTCTAATCCCATACGAGAACAGCCAGTCACTCACTGACTAAAACTGCAAAACAGAATTGTTAACGTATTTATTTTAATTTCAATTCAGGTTAGATATTTTTTTTTGTGCGCAGAGAGCGTGCCAGCAGTGCGCGATTGCACACGAACGCAGTTTAGAGGGAACATTGTCCTGAAGGTTGACCTTCAGGATATGTTGGCAATAAAGGAAATTTAAAAAAAATAAGTTGGATGTATTTAATTCATTTGTGTGGAACCTGTTGACAAAATATATTTATGTAAAACTAATTAGTAAAGCACAAGGTGGCTGAAAATATAATATTTGAATTAATCTAACTTAAACATTTTACTGCCACAAATAAGAGAGATGTGTTTAAAGTGACCTAAATATTTTTGCTTTAAACTAACACAATACAATTTCGTGGAACCTGTTGACAAAATAATTTTAATTAAAGTCGAAATTTCATTTTTTTTTTTGAGTGAACTTGTTTTCATTGCCTGTTTTTTTTGTTTTGTTTTTTTACTAACACACTTTTTTATAACAAATTGAAATGTTTTTTTTTAATTAAAAGTATATGAAACATTAAACAAAACTAAAAGGCAGAATTTGACTGCGCGGTTTTAATACAGTAACTGCAACTAAAATAGTATAATTAGAGTACAAGATACAACAGTAGTAACAGATAAATAAATTTAAGTAGTGAGAAATAATTGTCTTTAAATTTTAGCTATTTTTTAAAAAATTAGACTCCAGGAAATAAATAATTTATGTGAATTAATGATTTTGAGTAAACTTAGTTTGTCTACTTCATCGGTTTCTGTGTTAATACAAATTCACGTTGTACAAAAACTTAAATGGTTTAAGGCTAACTAGTTTGGGCTCATAGCACCTTCAAGTAATTTCAGCCTGAAAATTTTTATTTCTAATGGGGGTCATAATAGAGTGTGATATTTCAGGTCCTGTGTGGATCTGCACAGTCACATTCAGTGGTAGCAATAACCAGTAACCACAAGAGGGAAGCAAAAGCAAAGATTATCTTTTGGACAAAGCACCCATAGCGGCTCATCAATTACACACCCAAATATTAAGTGTATCACACACTAAATTAGCTCTACAAGGATTATTTAAAATTAACATTTTACCACCTGATTAAGATCAGATATACAGTTATGTATTCACATGTTGGTTATTTAAAAAATAATCATAAAATTGGGTTGTAAAGACTTAGAAATAATGAAGTAACCATCAATATTGAAGTTACACTTCAGCATGTGACGTAATGGATCCAAATGCTTACCACGTTTTAAAAATATAAAATTAACAATAAATTAATTAACAATACATTTCTGTTTCCCAAGTTTTTAAACTTAGAACTTCTTCTCTTTACGTTTTCTATTTAAATACTTTTGGGTAATTTGATGTTTAGCAAAGCCTCTCATTCAATAAGCTCTTAACACACTCATCTTCATCAGTATTTGAACACTAGGAAAACATTTTGTAATTTTGCCTGTGAAAATCACAGATCTTAAATCAAACAAGAAAGATATAATAGAAGAGCAGAATTTCATTTTCAATCTCAGTGCAAAGAAATTGGATATTATTCAGTGGGATAATTAGTCATCTGATCACAAACCAGTGAAGCACTTTAGTTACTGGAGACAAAACTGAAGGTAGAGAGACCCACAAACAAGCACACACTAAAGGTGGCTGCGGTAAACACCTGACAACGCATCTCAAGGTGGGAAATATAGGATTTGCTAAAAAAATCCCACCTTGTGTGAAGTAGCTCATGACTAACTGAAAAAAATACTCCAATAAACAATGATTCCTGTCATTTGTAGTCAGAAGTGGCGAGTACATCTCTTAATAACTAAAAGCTTGCTGTACTCTACCTTTGCCTCCAGTACTATTGTAAGGAACTTGGAGTCATTTTAACAAGGACTTTGCCTTTAACTTGTACATTAAACAAATCTTGACTGCTTTCTTTATAGGCGCAATATTGTCAAAATTGGAAGCATCCTGTCTCAGAACCCACTTAGCCCATGTATTTTATATTTCTATATACTCATTCTTTTGTACTTTATTGCTCTAAAATCTCCCTGAAAAGCTTACACTTTGTCCAAAATACTGATAGAGACTAAAAGGAGAGATCACATTTCTCCTTAATAGCTTTTCCAGAACCTGCTGAAATTATTCTGATGTACAAACTAAAACAGTAACTATTTTAAAGCAGCTACAGTTTTACACTGAACCATGATAACTCAAGTAGCTTTATATTGCCACAAGAATGTTTAATCTCACAGTAACTTACCCACAATGCTTCATGTTCTGTGGTTTGTCCATGCGAATGGCCAGTTTGATCTTCAGGTCACTGTCTGAGCAGCCTTTACACACCGTCATCTTATGGAGTTCAGACTGCTTAGGACTGTTGGGAGTCGGGTGGAGAACGACCTGGGAGTGTTCCCACCATTAAAGTATATGTTGTATACAAGTTAAACAAAGGCAAAGTGACCAAAATGAAGCAGAAGGATTTCTTACCCTCCCCAGCTCCTTATCTTCCAGAGCTAACACTCCTGTGCTCTCAGTAAACAGCTTCACCTTCACAGCAGGCAGTGGCTGAGTGGTGGTGAAGTCGCCCTGGGTACCCCAACTGCACACCAACACAAATATAGACACAACCACATATAAGCAAAGAAAGACTGTTAAACATTATTATGACTCCTGAACTACCAGTTAAGCCTTGAAAGTCTATGTTTGCTGGTGAGAAGCAGGGAGTTGGGTGCTTTTCAACTGTGGGAGGTACAACAATAGAAACTTTCATAGCGTAATGTAGTCAAAATGTAACAACAGTGCAAAACATAGCTCTAACAGGCTGCTCTAAACCAGAACACTGCACCTAAACTGGACCTGGACCAGAGTCAATCAATAATGGAGGTGGATTCATTACTGATATATAAACAGTAACTTTTAGGGGATTTTCCAATAACTATAAGTCAGTCACTTGACTGTCACTATAATGTGACAGTCAAGTTTTTGTCACATGCTTTCATTGTCTTCGTCTTCCTTTCACTCCTCAACCGGTCACAGGAGGCCCCGCCCCTCCCTGAGCCTGGTTCTGCTGGAGGTTTCTTTCTCTTAAAAGGGAGTTTTTCCTTCCTACTTTCGCCAAAGCTCATGCTAATAGTGGGTCATATGGTTGTTGGGGTTTTTCTTGTTTTCTTTGTATTCTTTGTATTGTTAACTATATCTATCTAATAGACTCAAATTTGTTCAAGTAAAAGGAGAGTCTTCTTCACACACTGAGGTTAATTGTGGAGTTCCACAGGGTTCAGGGCTAGGACCAATTCTGTTTACATTATACATGCTTCCC